GCTAGTTTCCCTCTCAAATTTTTTCCACCGTGCATTCCTCTTTTCCCATGCAGTGCCAAATGGCGAAATACATTGTAAATAATCAGACAAATGTCCTCAGCAGTGGCCGAGTGATTAAGACCAATGAATACTGGTAGTTTGACCTTGCATTGGTTCAATCTCAGGCGAACAGACTGGCTGCATGGTTTCTTTTCGTGAATTTTCTCATGTGTAACATGAATATGAGCAGTTTCCTTTAAAAAGTTCCTCCACGAAAGCACCTTCTTCTAGCAGATACGAACCAGTTTCCCTTAAACATTGTTTCCGCGGAGCATTCCTCCCTTTCCATGCAATACCTAATGGCGAAACACATAGTAAATAATGAACAAAACACATAGTAAATAATAAAAAAAATTTCCTCAGCAGTGGCCGAGTGTTTAAGACCGATGAATACGGGTAGTTCCACCTTGCCTGGGTTCAAACCCAGGAGAGCGGGCTGGCTGCATGGTTTGTTTTCGGGGATTTCCTCATGTGTAACGTGAATACGAGCCAGTTTCCTTTAAAAAGTTTATTCACGAAAGCACCTCTCCTCTAAGCAGATAGCCCTCCTGTTTTTGCCATATTCATATAATGTAACTTAACCTAATTTAAATGGTATGTAATAATACGGAATAGTGAGAAACTTAGGATATGCCCATTTCCCCAAGAACGGAGGAATGAATGGTGTCGAGGACTGGAGGGTTAGACACACTCAGAATTAGGATTGAATCCGAAAGTAAGCTCAACAGAAAGACGATTCTCCTAGGAGGAGACGATTTTCTAATTATGTAACTTTGGTACATATTTTTCCTTTATAACAAAAAAAAAAAAAAAAAAATAGAGGGGGCACATAAAGAATTTAGTATAAAATGGAGCTTAGGTTTTTACCTCAAACCCTATCTATTTCTGTATTTATTAAACAAATTAAAATATGTTAGAGAAATTTAAAGGATGATGGGTGAGGGCGGCAGTTTTAGCTTTTGCCTCACATCAGAAAAATCAAAGATCCGGTGCTGTCACAGCCCCACCATGGGTGTACAATCAATGTATTTTATACTTTTTCTCCCTCCTAACTTAATGCTTTTCTTTTTCCTCATAATTCCCATTAGGCAGCTTTTCCAGACGCTTTTTTGAAAATGGCCTGTAGCTTTGCTTTACCAAACAGCAATCTCTCTTTCTAGAAACTTGAACATTCTTGTCGCCCTCTTCCATACTTCACTATATAAGGTTCTGCAACCAGGGCTGTGGAGTTGGAGTTGGGCAGATTTTGGGGTAAAAGGAGTCGCTAAAAACAGGTCGACTCCGACTCCAGTTTTTGTTGGACAGTTTGAAATGAAATTAAAATGAATTGAAAAAATTAATGACAAGCTGAGTTATTATTTTTATTTATGGACTATATACAGTAATACATAGTTATTTTGTATTTTATTGACATATTAATAAATAAATATAAGGGAGGAGGATGGATTTAATATTTGTCATTAGTGATTAAATTGATTCATTTATTTACTTCATTTAGTTACAAATCTCACTGTAAATTTAGCAATAGCAGCAAGAACTCTCAAAAATTAATCCCATTCTTAGGAAGCGAGCAGGAAAGGGAGCGATTATTGATCAAGCAATGTGATAAGGAAATACATATTTAATGATAAAGAGGTTGTTAGAATTAAGAACTTTTTAGAAGATGTAGGTAACCCTAATGTTTCACTAACAGAAAGACTGTGGAATGATCTTGCAGAATTGGAAACTCTTCTTACTACACCGTATATAGGCACAAAAAAGCTGCATTCTGAAGAATTGATAGGAAGCAAGAATGGAAGAAGTGATGTTTGTTCTTTCTGAAATGGGGAGTTTATTTCAGAAGGAATAATTTCTTCAATGAAGAAAAGAGAAACTAGTTTGCTAGACAATGAGATCTTGCTGGGTTCAATATTTGTAGATCCAAAACACCGAATTTTCTTGGATGACGAACAAATTAAAAAGACAAAGAAAGCCATCTATGAACTTTCATTAAGAATGAAATTATTCTCAGAACAATTGGCGAATTCGAATAAGAACAGTCAAATTGCAGACATTGCAATTGAGTCTCTATCATCCTCTTCGAAAGATGAATTAGATTTTGAGAAATATTTTTGAATAATATTGAAAAAGGCTAAGGTAAAGCGAATGAAAATGAAGAACCAAGAGCCTTTGGATATGAAAATAAAAAAATGCAAACAAGATTTCTGCATGGCCTTTGAGGAAATAGAGAAATATGATTGCGCTTGCAAGACACCTCTTTTAGAACTTACAAAAATCTATCCTGAAAAGTTAAAAGAAGTTCCTAACAGGAACAGCTCTTCCTCCTACTCAAGTTAGTGTGGAAAGACTCCTCTCAGCTCTGAAGTTTATCAAATCGGATCTATGGCCCCTCCAACAAAGAAGATCTTGCCGAAGCTATACTGTTTCTTAGAAATAACTAATGCCAGTTTTTCCATTTCATAATAAATGCTAATTAATATAAATAATTTGCTATGCCATTGCTTCAATTTTTTTTCTGTAGCATCTATTATTTCTTTTATACTAAAAAAATAAGCTGTAACCCATGTGTATATGTTTACATATATATATATATGAGGGAGTCGGAGTCTGAAATTCCGGGAGTCAAAGTTGGTCATTTTCCCTACCGACTCCAGAGCCCTGCCTGTAACCTCCCACTTACCAGCTATTAACATAATGTGAAGGTGAGAAATTGGTCGATATTTATCAGCAGTCAGTCAGAGGCTAGTTAGAAGGAAGCAAGGAAGAACATCAATCTCTGGGTGCAGAATCCAGGGGGAACCAAACTGGTGTTACAAAATTTTAGAATTAAATATTTTCCATTCTTAGCAAACAGGAGGAGCCATGAAATCTTCAGCTGTCCACGGACATTGGAAACCCTAGCTACGACTCTGAAGTAGGTATACATTATCAACATATGAAATGAAAGCATATTTTAGCGATTTAAAAACATACTTTGAAAATTTGAATTTTTGAATGAGGATTATGTGATACATTAGAAAATAAAACACATTCTTCAAATATTTCTGTATTTTTTATGCTATTCTCCTTCTGAAGTACACAGCGATGTATTTTTGCTTGAAAAAAAATTTTAGAATTGGGGAGACTCGGCTTCATACGACGCTCGGCAACAGCAGCTGAGGAAACTCATTTCTTGGTTGCTTCCTTTAAAAAAATTTCAGCAAAATTCTGCATTCTTGCAAAAAATTTATTAAGGTTTCTTCCATTGCTGGCAAATTCCACAAGTTTATATTTTAAAACTAAAGGGGGGAATCACAATTCACATATAAAAATTCTTGGAACTTAGAATAAAACAAAAAAGAATGAAGGCATATGAAAATTGCACCATTGCTGACTGAAGGATTGTTATAAGGATGGTTGCTGGAAGAATTGCTATGTGCATGGTTATCACAGTGTGGCACATTCTGAAAATTTGACGACTTCTACTAAGATGGTTGCATAAGTACCTTTTTTTTTTTCTTCTTCAGTTCTGGGGATCAATTAAAATTAAAGATCTCTCTACTAATCATACAAAACAAGCAAACAACATTCTTATATGCAGCTGTACCAGTGTGTTTCTATTAAGCATGTATGTACTCGAAGTACATGAAGTACTGGTCTGCTCTGCAATGCTGAGAATTCTGCAGTTCTCTGATGTCTTTCTTAAGTTATAACAGTTCGCTGTGCATATGGACCAAGAATATACAAGTGTTTTATTGTGGATGGATGTTTGTTGTGTCTTTAATTTAGTTCATTTGTTATTGTTTGATGCAATTTTTACTGTTTTATTATGCATGTTTTGTGCATTTTGAATTTTATTAACCCGTTGCTGTTTTATGTAATTTTCAGCGTGTTGCCATTTTTTAAAATGGTTACTGTTTTTCACGTGTTAGGTTTATGAAAAAGTAGTTGCCAATGATTGGCGATTTTGCAGGAGCATTGGGCAGATAATGCCAAAGTACCTTTCTAATATTAATTACCTTTCTAATATTATTTGACAATGAAACTGAATGTACTTAAATTTTAAAATAAAAAAAATTCTAACTTTAATTTATAAACATTTGTTTAATAATTGATGTGACAATGTTTGGTAAATTATTCTCTTTGGTCATAAAGAATCGGGAAAAGGTCAAGAAAAAGTAAAACTGAATTTCATTTGAAAATGGAATAATGCAATCTACTTTATTTCTATACTGAGTAATGTTCATGATACTTATTAATTATCCTGTCAACCATAAGACTGTTGCCAAGCAGAGTGATTTAGTGCCAGTTAAATTTACTTGATATAACAATGTGCTTAGAACCTCTACACTTTTATCTGATGTAATCCTGATTGATTCTCAAAAGGCCATGTTTTGTTTTTATGAACAAGGATATAAATTTATTGTTATTGTCGATTTTCTCCCTTGTATTTTGAAAGAAATGATTAAAATTTGGCACCTGCCTTTTACAGAATAGCAAGTAGTGGGTTAGTTTTAAATTTATGTGATCCTGCATTCAAAAATGTGTGCGTTAATAGACATGGAATAATCAACTTGAACACGGAAGAGGACAATAAAAAAATTGGAACAATAACCTGTGGAAAGTTTGTACTCATGGTTTCGGAGGGCCTAACAAATCAAAATTCTGTGAAACCTTTTTATGAAAGTGGGTCAAGTATTGGTTATTTATTAAGTAAAGAGGCATCAGTTTCTTCTGAATTTTGCTGGAATAATTGGCTCAACTTAAGCAGAATCTCTGCCAACTTTCATGGTCAGTGGGATAATATATAAGTATCATGTTCTTTTATTGCACTTTGTTTCATTATTTCTGTGGGTTTTTTTCCCCTTAATATTTTTTGTCTTCATCAGATAGTCTTCTTCCCCCCCCCCTCATGTAATGAATAGGTATTTTTCTAATACTAAAATATTTGCATAATGAACAAAGTCTTTTTTTTCCTTTAGTATGTTCAAAACAACAAAGACAGTGATAATGACTGGTTTCGCCTAGAATCAAACAAGGATGGGACGCAGTGGTTTGGTAAATGCTGGCATGTGCACGAGCTCATGAAATATGAATTTGCAATTGAATTCGATGTAAGATTTTTCTTATATATTAAAAAAAAAGCACTTATTATAATGAATCAAATAAAATATCCATTTATCTATGTCTATTTGGTAGTTTCTGAAATGGTGTCTGTAAGGAACACTGAAAAATTTTTAGAGGCTGATGTACTAAGGTGAAGAATAATATTTAGACTAGTGGTACATTAACAGTTCTATAAAAGAGTATCAGTAAAATTTTCAAGTGGAAAAAATAGCGAATAAGAATGGTGGAAAAAAAAGTATCTTACCTGTAGCTTTCATAATTTTATAAATAATTTTTGTGGTTTGTAAGTAATTTTCATATGATTTGAAACCACCCTATAAAAGCCTTCTATATTGTTTTCAGACTTCATACACCACTTAAATTCTACAAAATAGAAATTGAATAAACATAATATTCTGCAGTTCATATGTTTGTATCCTATCATTCTTATAAAGTGAATGCTCATGCTTTAAAATAATCAGTTCTTTATTCGTAACAATTCAAGGTCATTTCAGATATCTTTAATTTCCAAATTTTCTAAAAATTTTAAACTCAGTTTTTAACTTTTTAGAAAATAAGTTTTGCTAAGTTGAAATCTCTAATAAAAGAAATCATTTTAGTTTGCTAGTCTTTAGATACATATAATCATATTTTAATGATCTCTCTTAACATATATTGCATTTTATAAAAATGCTTTGTTGAATTTAAGGTATAATTTATATTTATTCTTACAGATTCCAGTGACATATCCTACCACAGCTCCTGAAATAGCCATTCCAGAATTAGATGGTAAAACAGCAAAAATGTACAGGTAAGATTTTTAAGTATACTTTTTACACATACAGACTTATCACAGTAAACCTGCGATACTCCCCGCCAAATGAGAAAGCATTAGCTGTATGTACAGATGGCTCAAAGACGGAGAAGGGCACAGGCTGTGCTTACTGTGTACTCGAAGAAGTGGGAAAGACGACTGGAAGACAAAAATACCGACTTTCAGGCAGAGCTTCTTGCATTAAAACCAGCCATTGATTTGGCAAAATGTCAATTAAGAACAAAGGTCAATGTATATATAGCTACTCTGCCTCAAGTTTGGAGCCCATCCGAGGGCATAAGACAAGTCCTTGGTGCAAGATATACAGAAAATTCTTCTAAGGATCTCACCAGATGACAGACCTAACCTAATCTGGGTTCCAGCTCATGTGGGTATTACTGGAAACGAAGCTGCAGCCAATGACTCCAGTAGACTGGAAAACGCAGTAAGTGCGTTGCAGTCCTATTTAAAAAAAATTACACTCAGTAGGCTCCTACAAGAATGGCAGAAAATATGCGAAAGAGAAAACACAGGGAGGAGAACCTACAAGTTTTTTCCAAAAGTTACATGCCGAGTTAAAACATACAGCGGTGCACAAATTCATTTCTACACTGGCCATGGTCCCTTCCCACATTATCTTAAGAGATTCGGCAAATGAGTCTCAGAATTGTGTGAACGTGGCGCGGTACGTGATGCAGATCACTAGCTCTTCAATTGCCCCACACCGATAGATTGCATTTAAAAATACCAAGCAGTGAATACTGGCCGCAATGGGCGGAGAATACCTGCAGGAACAAGCAGGTGAAAACTAAACTAAGGTAGAGGAGGTGATCAGGCTATGCTCAGAAAGGTGCTAAGAAATTCCTTTCCCCCTTGAGAATTATATCTTCGCATCATAATTTCAATAGCAAATCAAAGTGGTGGGGAGAGGCCTTACATTGACCTGACAATATGCGAGTCTTTATTTCTTCTGATGAAGAGAATGACAACTTGGATAGGTATAATGATTGCGCTATAGAATACAGTCAAAAGTCGTTAATTCGGAATGATCTATAATCCGGACCTCAAAGCTAAAAACTTTCTGCGCATGCGGCGCATTGACACATGTGCATAGGTGTTTACGCGTGCACGTAAGACCTTTTACCACTGCGCATATGAGTGTTCGCAACCGCAGAATACGTTTTCGCGTGTGCATTTTATGTATAACGAACGGTATAAGCTAAAATTATCTAATTATCGATTTCAGTTAATGTTGATGATTGCGTTGTTCCTTAATTTTCGAATTGGATCCGGCTTATTATTTTTTGCAGACTGTAAGAGCAATACTATTCGATTATGTCAAATAGAATTTCCGATTCTGGAGCTCCCAAAGGATCATATAAAACGAAAGTATGTTTCGATGTTCATCAAACAAAAAGTGGAATTGCTGCAAAAAATGGATAAAAACATGAAGAATGTGACAGAGAGGTTAGTGAAAACGAAAAAATTTCGATTGACAAGTTAGTCGGTATTCTCGGCACAGCAATTAATGGTACTTGAACAGCGGAACTTTGTAACTGAACAAGAAATTATGTCTGTTTATAGCAGGGTTTGTAGCGGTCCTTATAAGTTCTTATAAGTCCTTATATTTGAAAATAAAATATAAAGGCTCTTATAGGTGCTTACTTTTTCTTTAAAGCCCTTTATTTTTTTTTTTGTTTTTCGTGCCCCCCCTTTTTTTTTTAATGAATGCGCTTTTTTTCCCCGTACCAAAGCCGAAACTAAATAAACAATGTTTCTTCCTAATATGGAATGTCAGATGGTGAGTCATACTCCCGAAAATAGCTTTATAGCTTTTCCCCCTTTCTCTGCATTCCGCTACATTCGGCATTCTTTTCCTCCCCCCCCAAAATTTACATACGTTTGAATTTCTATCAAGATGTTAAAAATTTGCATTCTCGTTCTCCTTGGTCAGTTCATATTCGTGTTTATTATGATCGTTATGCTTATATTATGAGCATATGTATGAATGTTTATAACAACATAGTTGCAGTAACTGCTGAAGTATAGTAAACTTCCAAAAATGGTAGTGTTTAACACAGATTAGCTTTCTAAAGAATAATATTCAGAATGGCTTAAATAAAGGGAAAGTAATCGAGAAGTCAAAATAATTTCATTTTTTTGGCCAATACATTATACAGTACGAAGGTTGAGAGGTCTCCCCTTTCTCCACAAAATCTCGAATATTGAAACCGTTACAGTTCGCAGCAAAGCAAGCAACATACTTTTTTTTGGTCACTTTCCAACCTGGATTAAATAGGACTAAAAGTTCTGCGGTCTACCAATCCAAGCAAAGAATGATTCTATTCCGGAAATTTAATGCAGCCTGTTCAAAATTAGAATGAAAAACACCACATATTGGTAAATCTTTTTATTAATCAATATGAGTGTAGTATGGATATTGCGCGGAGAGACGACGTGTCCTGCTCAATTATAAATATGCCACATGGACGCATAACGGTCCGAATACCGGCAGCTGTTGATTCTGATTGCATAACAACACGTGCGGAAGAATTAAGGCTCACATATTGCGCAATAATGTTTGCCATATTTTGCAGAGATAAAACAGTTTTACTGTGCTTGCTAAGTGGATTATTTTTCACTTCCATTGGACTATTTTTTATGTAATTCACATATCGAAATGTCAAAAGCATTATTTAGCTGAAAAATCTAAAAAACGGCTACAATCTAGCCCCCTCTCTTCTTTTACCAGTTACGCTCGACTATCCAGAATTTTCAGATATTTGGCAATTTCCGAGTATTCCAGTTAGTTAAGCTTTTATTTTTAAAGAATAAATCTTGAATATTGAAACTGTTACAGTTCACTGCAAAACAAGCAACGGATACTTTTTTTTTTTTTTTTTTTTTGGTCACTTTCCAATCTGGATTGAATAAGACTAAACGTTCTGCGGTCTACCAACCCAAGCGAAGAATGATTCTATTCCAGAAATTTAACGTCGTCTGTTGAAAATTAGAATGAAAAACTCCAGTTATTTAGTTCTTTATTCTCCCAATACCGGCAGTTGTTGATTCCGATTGCGTAATATCATGTAGGGAAGAATTACCGCACACATATTGCGCAAAAATGTTTGCGATATTTTGCAGAGATAATTAATTTTGTTCAGTTCGAGATTTGTTTATGAACACTTAAAAGAATTTTACTATGCTTGCTAAGCAGAATATTTTTTAGTTCTGTTGGTTTATTTTTACATGATGCACTTATTGAGATGTCAAAAGCATTTATTTAGCAGAAAAATCTAAAGAGCGGCTACAGTCTACTCCCCCCTCTGCTCCTTCAAGATACGCTCGACTGTCCGAATCTTCGCCAATTTCCAAGTATGCGGGTTAGTTAAGCTTTTACTGTTAAAGATGACTGCATGAAGCAAATTTCTGTCTTCTGATTTCAGAAATGTTCCTCTTTTTTACTTAAATTACTTTGCTTGCAATATCTGTTAACAAAAAAACTGATTGTACAGTGAAAATTTAGAAAATGTTCAGAATTTTAGATTAAAGTTAAATTATTTAAATATCAATATTAGTGGAAAAATAAATTGTATTTATTATTAGGTTCCAAGCGAATACAATAAATATGACTTATTATTATTTATATTCTCTATTTTGAACTGAAATTTCATCATTAAATCTTGTAATATAGTTTAGTTCTTCATAGTTTTTTTTTCTCTCATTGTAAACTAGTTCTGTAAATTGAACTATTATTTAAAATTAAAAATAAAAAAAAAAATTAAAAAAAGTAATTATTTTCCATGGTTGAGGTAATGCTTATTCTCTCTTAATAAGTACTTCATTTATCATATTTTAAATTACAAGTCTAATTTTTAAGGTTATGCAGTTGTGTATGATGTAATTAGACAGGTGCTTATTTTTTTTCTTAAAATGTGCTTGAAAAGTGCTTATAGGTGCTTATTTTTTTAACTAAAATGTGGCTATGAACCCTGTATAGAATTAAAGAGAAAGTATTATCACATAAAACGAAGCAACTTACATTGAAAGATATGTTTAATAAAGTAAACAAATAAATATTAAGCCCCTTTTTTTTGTTAATTTTGATACCGTTTAGATCATAATTGTTCTTTATTTCATAAATTACGGTTTCATATTTTTAATTTTAGAATTTCTGCATGCCATCTTACAAGATTTAAACTGATGGTCTATAATCCGGAAAATTCAATAATCCGGAATCGCCGAAGTTCCGACGAGTCCGGATTAACGACTTTTGACTGTAATAAGTACAGAGGCAAAAAAGTATCCCTCCCAATGCGTATTATACTAGATATAGCTTTTAGCACAAAAATAAAAGACATATAATAATTATTTATCACTATACAATTATTATAATTAATTATGAAATTTTTTTCATTGTTTAACAATACACATAAATTTTACCTCAAAGATATAAAAGAATAATGATCAATTATAATAATTATTTATTGTTATATAATTATTATAATTACAATAATTAAATTATTAGAATTCATCATAATGATAATATAATGAAAATTATACAATAAAATTTACTTATTACATTATATTATAAAATAGTGTGCATATATAGCAAAACTATTTTGGTCTTGTACTTTTATGAATGTATAATAAATAAATACAAAAAATTAAATGCAATGTAATAAAACATTAACTATAAATGATGATCAGCACATAAGCTTAGATTACTTGAAATTGATTTTCTGTCTTCTTATGTCTGTTCTCTTTGAATGCCATGAAAATAAACAGAAAAAAAAAAAAAAAAGAAGAAGAAGAAGAAGAACGGAAAAAATAACAGCGCACACACTTTATAATAAAAACAATTATTAAGTGCATAAATGCCTATATATAATACTCTAAGTAAGGCATTGAACCAAACAAAAAACACAATGCATTAATACAGTATTAAATTATGATGCACTTAAGAATTTTACACCACATAGTTCACATACAGTGCA